TATGATGGATGACTATAAAGTATATTCACTAGGACAAAAAGAGAGTTTTGTTTACGTTTTCCAGGTTTTTCCATAATCCTTTTAAAAAGGAGAGGATCCTGCAAAAACCTGGAAAACGTAAACAAAACTCTCTTGTTATTCTAGCGAAGAGCTGCTTTTGATACTTGCCTGTATATAACCTGTATATATTTATAAACAATATGATATGGTTTCAGCTGATAAGATTCAAAGCTATATTATGTTATTGTTGTTCCCAAGTCAGTACATTTCATTGTTAGGGATCATGTTATACCTATGTTTTATTTTTGAGGCATTTAAACATAAATTATGGGCACTTGCTGTTATACTCCAAAAGGTTCAGGCAGTGTAAACAGTGCAATTATACAGTAATAAAAGTGTTTTTTTTTTTAATTCTAAGAAAATGCTGTCATTTTCTCTAAATTAAAAAAAATGATAAGATCATTGTCATAATTCCTTTTAAGGTTCTTAAGTTTTAGCAAAAGCTTTTATCACCTCAAAATACAGACATCAAAACCCAAAATCTATTTTAATATTTTAAAAATGGATACCTTTCATGGATGTTGTGGCGAAACCAAAATGGTTTATTTTGTTTTGTTGGCAATCCTATCATTGACGTTCTTTGGAAGCACAATCAAGCTGATCACTCTTGAGATTTTCTGCAAATATACATGGACACAATGAATCAACTTTGTTGTCCTTGAAGTCTTAATTTTTATCATGATCCTTCCAGTTGTTCAGTGAATTTTTTTTCCCAGCTGGTCCACATTGACAGAGAATTTGCTTCATTTTCTCTGTGTTAGAAGAGCAGTTGCCTTCTAGGTGGAGTAATTTTCATCATCGTGGAAAGACCAGTGCTTCTTCCTAGACTCCAAGGTCCATCAGGAAGGTTTGAATTTTCTTCCCAGTGCCTGGCTAAATGGTTAAATAAAGCTTTGGGTAAGTTTGCGGAACAAGAGTACCCACTTTCTGGAACTATGTTGGGCCAGTAACATGGACCTAGGCCTTTACCTTTATTCAGCTCTGTTGGTTCGAACAGAGATATGCGAGTTTTGCAAAAGCAGTTCTTTTTTTGGTCACTTTATGACTACCAGGCCCTCCTCCTGGTAATAGCTGGCTATTCATCCAGCCCAACCTCCTACTTTGCTTGGAATCAGGTGACCCTTAATGTTCCTTTCCAGACCCATTATGTTAATCTTAGAAGCTGCAGGGTTCTTGTCTTGCCATATTATGCATATGGAGGTCAGGCTCCCACTTAAATTTCTACAAGCTCTAGAAGTTTCAGAACAGTCCTTTACACAGGTGTATAACTGATATGCATTAGTCCACAGATAAGCAGTCAAAAAACTGCAGTAACAGGTAAGTAACCACTTTGCCTTGCTGCTGGTGTAACAAACAATTGCACACAGATGCTCTGCGTAACTGGCTAATTCTTCTACCTGGTTTGTTTTTTCTTTCTAGGATAAAAAGTCCTATTTGGATGTCATTCACACCTATACGGAAGTCCATGGAACTGTCCATGGGACAAGTGCTGTCTATATGCCCAGCTATGTTAAAAACCATGGGATTCTCAGTGGCCGAGATTTACAGTTCTTGCTAAGAGGAACAAAAGTAAGTTAGCTGGCTTTTTCAGAGTTTAAATGGGATGACCTAGCTTACTTTAAAATGTTTTAATCTTCACTACTCCCTTGTTCCATAATATGTTCAGATCCAAAAAGGTCCTTTGGAATGTACAGAAGTGTGAACATTAGCACCTGCCTGCAGCTTTTTAAAGGGCCCACAACTTTTCCCAGGGTCACATAACCATCTTCTGCAGCTGTTACGTGATCCTGGGGGGTGGAAATGTGGTTGCTTTAAAGAATTGCAGATAGGTGTTAATTTGTGGGCCTTCATGTCCTGAAGCATCTTTGGGGAATCAAATCCAAAATGTTGCATAACCCTATTCCATAATAACTCCATAATAACCCCAATAACATAAGGCTTATTTAGAAAAGCTTTAGGTTTCTTTCTCACATTTTGGTGCTATGTTGTTAGGGGCAACTGATATTTTTCAACTGAGGAGTGCAACCATTCTTTTAGGTGTGTCCAGAACATTGAAATGCCCCATTTTGAGTTTAAAGTAACCAGACAAACAGTCTCTAGGCACCTGGACCACACTTCAGTGGCATCACTGGTTAGCCCAGGGACAGGATTAAAGTTGAGTAATATCAGCTGACTGATGATACCTGTCCCCATGTTGGCAAATTACCTCACTCATCTGCTTCATGTAGATGTTGAATAGGAGGAACGAGAGCATTGAGCCTTGTGACACCCTACAACTGAGGAGCCTAGGGCCCAGTCTTTCCCTACCACCAATGACTGGAACCACCCCATTTGAAAGGAGGAGAATTGCTGCAGAACAGTATCCCTTACTCCCAGCCTTCAGGGGCAGTGCAGAAGGATACCATAATTGTTGGTATTCAGGACTGATGAAAGGTCAAGCAACATCAGAAGGGTCATACACTCCCTATCCTAGTTTCACCAGAGATCATACACAACTGCAATTGGTGCTATCTTCACACCATACCTGGGCCAAAAGCCTGACTGAAATAGGTCCAGATAATCCCTTTCTTCCAGGGCCTTCTTCAGTCATCACCCTGACCCAGCCCCCCATTTCTGGAGGCATT